CTCGTGTTGGCTAAAGGAGGAGAGAGACTTTCTGGTTGAGCCATTAAAATTCTGCTGAAACCATTTAGTGATGTGACTAGGAAATACCCTGGAATGTTTAAAGACTCAAAAAGAAAAGAAATAGTTCTTGTGTTGTTGTTGCTAACAAGAGTGAAGAGTTGAGTGAAGTTTGTTGAGGGAATGGTGTGGTCTGACGCTTTTTGCCTTGCAGTTTCTCTGCATGAGTGCTAACTTGCTTGGCCTGGGCTGGCCTGGCCTGGGCTGGTATTACTTCTTGTTTGTCCCTTATCTGTGAGCCAGAATTTCTGAGAGAGGACTTGCTCTTGTGTTCTTGCACTCACAGGTGTTTACCTGGTGTCCGCTGCTGGAAGCAGAAATTGGAAACCAACCCTGGAGAGCAAGACGACCCTGATGAGTGCCAGCCTTTCTTCTCTGAAGTACCACTGGTTGTGACTGCTTTGTGCGTGTTTGTCCCCTCTGGTTCCCTGGGCCAGGCAGGTCCTCCGCCATCCTGTGCATTCCCATGTGAGAGGCATTTGGGATACCTTCTGCCCTCTCAAACAGGATCATGAATGTGCTATTACAGTGGTGAGTGAATACACGAGACTCCGGGACCTCCGGGCTACTCTGTCTGCCACCCATGGGTGAAGGAGGACAATAATTATAACACGACAGTAGTGAAGGTAGGGTATAGTTGGTTGGAGGGGATAGAACAAAAGGGATTCCTGTGCATTGTTTTTCATGGTTTCTGTAGACAATAATGTGATATTGGCTGTATTTTGTATTAGGTGACTAGAGAATTCATTATGTGTTTCCTGCATCAGACCACCACTGCCTGCATTGTGGAGCTATGGGCTAAGGTACTCAGTGGAAGAATGCTGTCTCCAGTATCAGAGTTGGATCCAGTCCTGCTGCCTCTGTTTCCAGTCCTGCTGCTTGCTAACACATTGTGGTAAGTATCAGCTATGAGTCAATTGTTTGGATCCCTGCCCCTTGATGGGAGACCTGGAAGGAGTTGTGTTCTGCTGTCCTGCTGTCCTGCTGTCCTGCTGGCTTGAGCGTGGCCCAGCCCTCGTGGTTGTAGGTATTTAGGGAGTGAGCCAGCAGATGGAAGCTCTCTCTGTATATTTCTGTCTCTCTTTCTTGTTCTACCTTTTGATTAAAACAAAGTGAACCTTGAAACGTGTATACCACGTTTAACATTGTGCACTAATAAACTCAGTGTTGAAATAAGAAGGAAATGTAACTCTAGACAAACTGTCATGAATTCTGTTCTGAGGGAATAATCCTAGATGCATTTTGCCCTATCACTTTATGTCAGTATCTGATTAGGGCACCCAATGTAATGTCTGTAGAATAGAAATTGCATGGAAATACTCTGAGTTTTCTACTTTTCCTTTTGCCTTTGTTTTTTTTATAAATGATTCAACATTGTAAGGAATATTCCATATTCTGTTCAACCTTTAATAATTATATAAACGTGGAGCAATGTGTTGGGGAAGAAGGGAGAGTGTGAGGCAGGCAGAGAGAGGGAGAGTGAGAGAGAATGAGAGTGAGAGAATGAGAGAGTGAGGGAGTGAGCAAGACCAGGAGGGCTTCCTGTTGTTATTCACTTTGCAGTGACTACATGAGCCAGGTCTGTATAGGGTGCCCTATGGATGGCAGGCCCAAACACTAGGCCATGTCCCTCTTTTGAGGTGCATGAGCATGAAGCTAGATAGGGAGTGGGGCAGCCAGGACTTGACTTTGTCCTGAAGCAAGAGAGACTGTCTTGGTTACACTGACTTGCTCCAGGCTGCCACAAAGTCTTTTGTTTTGCTTTCTTTTTGTCTACTTTCTTAGCTATGGCAGCCTTTTGTCTGTTTTGACAGCAGAGTGGTATGCAGTGATGGCTGGGAAGAGTGCATGCACATGATAATAAAGAGAAATTGTGAAGCTATGTGAAGTGAGAGCATTTAGAAACTTGTGGCCAGATTCGCTATGGTTTCATTTCCTAGGTTTTAAGATTTATTGCTTGTTGTTGGAAGATAGATTTGTAGAGAAAGAGACTGAAAGTGAGATGTTCCAACAGCTGGCTCAGTCCCCATATAGGCAGGCCCTCCATAACAGAGGTTATGCTAAGTCAGGAGCTAGGAACTGCTTCTGGGTGTCTCATACACATACTGGGCAGCAAGACTTTGGGTCATCCTGCACTGTTCTCCCAGGCCATGACCTGGTATTTAAATAAGAGTTTGAGGACTCAAGAAAACACTGGTTCCAGGACAAGTTGCCAGCACTTGCAGGGTGAGCAATATAAGCTTAATATGCTAGACCATTTGGTTCAAATTCTGTACAGTGAAGGCAAATTCTTAAGATATTTGTGGTGGTGCATAGGGAGTATGGAATGGAGATTGATTTGTCCAAGCCTAAAGTCTGTTTTCCAAGAACAGAGTGCTGTGGATGAGAAAATGGTGACGGGCCTGGGGCTTCACATGTGCTAGGGAGGTGGCACCCATGGATACTACTCTGCAAGCACAGGCCTGAGCTTGGCATCCTGACTTAGGGACACACTCACAGATGAGCTGTGATAGGCCAGGACCCTGATGCAGAGGTATCAGGCAGAACCACGTTGGTCTGCTTCACTGGACAGTCCAGGAGCTGGTTATGCAGGCTGGTGTGTTTTAGGTAGGCGTCACCGATGGTGGGCTACCATCTTGGACACGGAGCAGGAAGACAGGGTCCTGGTAAGATTTGGTGCAATTAAACCTACATGGCATCTCCACTGTAGTGCAGGAACCTAAGAATGGGGACATGGCTTGTGCGGTGTCCCACTGATGTCCCTTTGTGTTGAAATGGAGCCTGTGATTTCATGTGCAGTTGATCTTAGATGCAAAGGGCTCTGTGATCTCAGAGATCAGAGCTGAGGGCTGTGTGTTCTGTTGACACTGCGTATGTTGAAGTGCCCCTGTGCTGAGTCTTTCTAACAGACGGATTCCAGCCCAGGTGCAAATGAATCAGGTGTCAGCCTACTCCTGTGAACTGTACAAAGAGCTCCGATGTCACCTCAAGAAACCAACAGGGGCCAATGACTTCTGAGGGTGCTGATGACATTGGAGGGGACACAGACTTTGGGCCCCGCTGCAATGTCTCCAGCCTATGCACTGGGCACATTAGATGAGCTAGGGAGGGCTTTTGGATCCTGGGACGTGCATGACCTATCGCCCTGATGAGCAGGATGTAGCTAAATGAGAAGAGATGAATCTACATTCTTCAGTAATCCATTATCATAAGGATAGGAGAACTCTGCAGAGGGCAGGAAATGGGACTGGCAGGGAGGTAGCTAGCTTAGCGTCACTCATGAAGTGCCAATCCTCCTGCAGCCCAGGCACTACTGTCTGTCTAGTGTCTATTAGATGACCTTTCCACACAGGGAGATGGACTGCCACACTCCCTGGACCTGAGGATGGCATCGTGGACTCACGTCCCTTTTCCAGGCTGCTGAGTATCCAAGCACCAGGGAATGGTGCTCCCTCATTCCACACACTCAAGATTTAAGCAGGACCATCTCTCCCACCTCTCCCCTTGCTGTCCACTCTGTCCCTGAGGATGGAATACAGAGGTTTGGGACCCCTCTCCACTGCCTCCTTAGAAAACATCCAGTAGACTGAGAAGTCTCATCTTGTGGTGTTGCAGAAGTTATCTGAGGTAGAGTGCCATGTTAGTGTGGTACATAGGAGTTGGTCCTTTGTGTGTCATATATGGTGAGAAATGACTGCTGTGTGTTTTCATCAATGACTTGACTTGGGCTGGTGCAGCCACTATACTGTACTAGGCTAGTAGTATTAGGGAGGGGCCATGGAAACTTCCACTGTAAGTGAAGTGTTGAGTGTGCTTGTCCCATTTGATAGCTAACAGAAGATCACTCATGTGTGTAACCCTGTGTGGCTGTGAAACAAGGCTCTAGGGTCTCAGCTGTGGACCTTTGATGATACCACCATGTAAACTCCCCTTCCTCTGTCCTAGACCTGCACACCACTAGCCACCACCTCTGCTTCCTCTCCTGCTTCTGTGTTAGGTGCCCTAATGTGTGGTTGAGAATCTGGGGTAGAGGGCCTTTGTGTGTCACAGACAAAAGGAACAGTGCCTCTGAGAGAGTTGCCTATTTCCCCTGCTGGTCAGTTCTCTTGAGTCCAGGGTCAGTACATTCTGCTTCCCTGATGCTTCTGAGCCCATCACTGTTTGGGAGGGGCCAGTGGTGGGCTCATGTGTGTTTAGTTTTCACCTATACCAGTCGCTGTCTGGGAGGCCTGTGCCACTGCACTTCACTCAACTCCCTTAGGAAAGCTGTGACATTTTGCCACTGCCCTGATATGGGACCCTGCATTTTTCTACATGCCCTTCCCTGATGTGATGATGTGGCATCCCATGTTTGCTAGAGATGTGTCCTGAATCTTCCCTTGTGAATGACCTGTGTGCTAGGAGGGCATGGGCCAGAGCCCATTGCTTGAGAGCTCTCTTGACCTTTCTTCTGCCATTGTCAAAGTTATACAAATTGTACTTTGTTTTTTGCTGTTTAGTCTTAGCATTAGATTCAGTTTCTTTCTACTGCCATTTCCTCATAGCTGAACTCTTAAGGCCCTAAAGTCTCTCTCCCTTAGCATTTCTAATTAGGTTCTCCTCCCGTTCTCCTTCCTCCTGAGTTCTCAAGCTGTTTTCTCCTATTTGTCCAGTGAATTTTGAGTTGATTCATTCTAATGCAGATGTTTAGCCACCAAGACATCCACCAAAACAGCAATAATGCCCAAAACTAAACAAAATCCCACAATTAACAGCATCACAAAATGCAAAACACTTACTTATTACCTAATCCCATTGTCTAATCCTGTCAATGCTAAATGCTACCAATTCTATTTCCAGCTAATTGTATTATCTTAATAATGTTAAATCATTGAAGTATTAGAAAGAAATAGAGAAATTGGTATCTACCTATAGGTGTGCAGATATGTGGAACCCAAGTGGTCCTAGCATTGGAAACAGCTCTTGGTTACATAACCATAGTAAAGAGAGATATCCATCTCTTTTTCCCTCTCAATGAAATATTGGAACTTTCCAAAAGAGGTGTATTTGGCAGCTTCCTCACGCTCTAGTTGAGCCCTCCTCTTCATAGCCTCACGCTCTGGCCTCTGCTCTTCAGTGATGGGAGTTGACACTAAAGGCCCAATCATCTCAGGTTTCCTCCATGGTCTTCGTTGTTGGCTGAAATCCTGGATGAGAAAAGGGTTTTGAGGCATGGGTGGTGGCTTGGGCAGAGCAGTGGAATTAGGCTGCGGCCTGACCGAAGTGTAAGATGCTGTGTGGTGAGGCACAGGCCTAGACACCACTGATGGAGGGATGGTAGGCTGGGGAGGGTTGCTCAAAGCTGGTCGGGTTGCGTTGGTTGAAGTGGGCTGAGCTGGTGTAACAGAAGCTACGGGTGATGTGGCAGCAGCAGTTGGTGGAGCCGGAGTGTCAGGAGTCGGTTGAGCTGGGTTAGTGGACGCAGGCTGGGCATGGTCATGGGTAGCCCCTGTGGGCTTCTGGGAGGCAAGAGACTGTGGCCTTTGCTGAACAGGTCGAGGGCGAGGTCGAGGCCGAGGCCTCTCGACGGTGGGGAAAGGCAGAGGAATCAACTTGACTTTTCCTGGTGGTGGCAGCTCATAGACGGATGGGGACGTGTTGCCTTTCTCAGCTTCATCGTCCGGGTTCTGGGCTTTGGCTGGAGCTTTCTCAGGTCCTTTGCCTTCCTGGGCAGTTTTCAGCCATGGCTTTGTCGCTGAGGCTGCACAGGGGTCTTTGTTGTGGCTGGAACTTCCCAGCATCCTGGTCGGAGAGCGGCCCGTTTTCTTCTCGGTCTTCTTGCCCAGTGCGTGAAACACCTGCACAGACTCCATCATGTGCATGCCGAGGCGGCTGCGAGGTTTTTGGAAGGTCTCTTGTGTAAGTGCCGGTGGGTTTCTCTTCCTCGATGTCTTGGGGATGGGTGGCTTGTCTTGAGCCTTGCCTTTTTCACCTGAGTGCTTGCTGTTCCCAGGTCTCTTGGTGTCCTGTCCTTTTGTGGTGGTGTCCTTCACCTGGCGCTGGCTCTTGGTTGTCCTGGATCTGCTGGATGCAGGTTTGTGAGGCTTGTTGGTAGCTTGCTGGGCCTCTTTCACAGGACTGCTGTGACTGTCTGCATTGTCGCAATCGACCACTTCTCCCTCCTCTATGAGGTGCTCTGGGGTCTTTGGCGGGATCTTGGCCCTGGGTGCACCGTGGAGAGGCTCTGTGGCTTTGTGCTTCTTCTTCGTGCTGAGCTGATTGGAAGGAGCGTGTATGTCTGTGACACTGTCCTGCACCTCACTCTCTTTGGTGGCTGCAGGCTCCGTGGCACTGATTTCCACGGAGCCTTTGGGTTGGTCCAGATCTATCAAGGGACTGAAGGTTTTGGGCAGGCAGATGTTCTTCAGCAGCAGCGCAGGAATGTCTGCAAAGCCATTGCTAGCTGGAGTGTCACCTTCTGATCTGTGTTGGCCATCAGGAGTTGGGCTGCTGTGTGGGAGGTCAGCCATGGTGGGACCAGGCTGCTCCTCTCGGCCAGGAGGAGTATCACTGCAAGCCAGAAGATGACTGTCTGGGATTTCCAAAGGCAGCAGTGGAGGAGCTTGGATTTGTGCTGGGCTCTGCACAGTATGCAGAGGTTGTGGAAGCTGAGTTTCAGTCTCTGGCAGATTAGCCTTGTGTGTTTGCTCCTTGCTTAGGGCTGGTGGCAATGCCCAAAGTTGAGTGGGACTCTGTCTGGGAGCTCTGTTGGAAATGTGACCTAGCTCAGGTGGTGGGTCACTGTCCACTAAGTGGATCATTGTGCTCCTGCAGGACCTGGAAGCTTCTACCGTTTGGGGCACACAAAGGGTCTGCCTTGAAGGTTGCACTCCCTGAGAAGTCTGCGTCCCCAGGGAGTTTTCCATCACTGCAAAGGAACCAAGAAATCAGTGTGTGGTGTGTGACGTGCTCCCACCCCACAGCCATGCGGTATTCAGGTAATGTCCAGAATCAGGTCCAGCTTTTCAGCTCACTTTTTCTAAGGATCATGGACTAAGCTCTGGGCATTCACTGTTGTATTTGTCCCTGTTGTGATTATGGGCTTGATTGTTCTCCCCACAGTGCGGTTAATAGCAAGTCCAAGGAAAATGTTTGCAAAAGGTTGAAATGTTTTCTAGGACCCACCATCCTCATAAGTGTGTTTTCATTTCTCACCTCCCTCCTGAGAGAACAGCTTATGATATTTACTGAGAGAGGCTGGAGCTATTCCTCATGAGCTACCTAAACAAGGGCAGAGTGTGGACCTGTGTTCTTTGGACAGACTCTCTGAACACAAGCTCTTACATCTGGTTCCAGTGAAGGACACAGATGGTCACGACCACATGAAGAACTCTGAAGTTCTTGACAAGGGTTGCTGAAGCAAGGCAGATTGGGAAGGCCTGGGATGATTTGGGGAGGTGGATGATCTATGGCTGTGGAAATTGTCTTATCTGTCAGAATGGCCCTTTTGGATTTATTTGTAGTTGCAATCAGTCTCCTCTCTATTTAGCTGTTCTTTTTTTTTAAATAATGTATTTATTTGTTTGGAAACCCTGATATACAGAAAGCAGGAGAGAGAGAGAGGAAGATCTTCCTTCTGAAATTCACTTCCCATTTCACTGCTACGGCTGGAGCTGAGCCAGTCTAATCCAAAGCCAGGAGTTCTTCCGTGTCTCCCACGTGGGTGCAGGGTCTCAAGGCTTTGGGCTGTCTTTCAATGCTTTCCCAGGCCACAAGCAGGGAGCTGGATGGGAAGTGGAGCTGCCGGGATTAGAACCGGTGCCCATATGGGATTCTGGGTGTGCAAAGCGCAGACTTTAACCACTACGCTATCACACTGGCCCTATTTAGTGTTTTTGTATAGAGGCTGAACTGGAGAGCCCTGAAGGCTGGTGTCTGGCACAGCAGGTGCATCAACATGAGCATCAGGATGCGCCCCCCTCAGGGTCCAGCTCTCCCTGCTAATGCCTGGGAAAGCAGCCTCTAGTGCCCCCAGTCCTTGGACTCCACACTCTGTTGTGAGACTCTGAAGAAGTCCCAGAGTCCTGATTACAAGGCCTGAACTAGCTCCAGCTGTCATGTGCTTTTATCAAAATACAGCAGTGCATCACAGAAATCTTTCACTCTCTTCCTCTCATTCTCTCTGTAGTGCTGCTTTAATAAAGCAAGTACTTGTTTTAAAGCAACAGAAAAAGAGAAAGCAGAGCCTGAGCTAGGTGATGGTTGCTGTCCTGTCCCTCTGAAATGCAGGTTTGACCTCTTTGGATGTTCTTCCTTGGCTACTGACTTGATTCCACTCACCTTGAAATGTTGTTCTTGTGGCAGGTTGCGACGAGGCAGAGTAGTAGGTTGCAGAGGTTGAGACTGGTGTTGTGTCATCAGTTGGCTGAATCTGCCTTAGCACCATCACCATTTCTGGGTAAGGTGCAGAGGCCACAGTTGCTGTGTGTGTCCCAGGGGCATAGGTTTGCAGGCAGGGGCCAGGTTGTGCCGAGAGTAGAGAGCCTACTGTGGCTTGATGATGGTCATGGATCTGGCTTGCTTGCAGGTATGGAAGTGACAAGCCATGCCCCTGCTGAGTAGGAATGTGAGCTGCTGTGCCCGGAATGAGTGATGGAAAGAGAGGGACCGTGGCATTGGCACCTGTGGTTTGGTGATATGGGGCTGTCATCAGTGTGCAAGGAACAGCTGTGTTCTGGTTGGTGCGAGTGCCCTGAGTGAAGTGCCCGAGTGCTGAGGTGTTCTGTGCAGTGCCTGCTGTGAGATGCCATTGTAGAGCAGCTGGGTAGGAGGCAGCAGACATGGAGGTCTGGCTCTGGGCAGGCACTGCAGAGAGCATGGTTGTGGCTGAATGTTGTTGGTAAAGGTAGGCACTGCCCCTGAGTGGCTGGAAAGAGGTGGCAGCAGCTGATGACAGTAGCCATGCTGAGCCGACCGTCGGGGCAGACACTGTGGAGAAGTTGGTGACGCTTCCTGTGTGGGAAGCTGCACTGCTCCCTGCAGGGATGGAGAGTGGCAGGGCAGTTGCAGTCCCAGGGAAAGGTGGATTTGGGGGATTCTCTGTAGAAAGCAAGAGGCAGATGGGAAAAAATGGATGAGCTGGAGGAAGTCTTACCATGATCCACACAGTATTGCAATTGGAAAGCATCTAAGCACACTACTCCCTCAGTCTCCAAGAATCATTTTGTGTCTGGCTGTAAGTGTGCCAGCAGGTTCGTTCCCTTCTGATGAGCTTGCTGGATTCTTGACTTGTGCACAAAATGGAAGACACTCAAGTCAAAGTTCATGGTGTAGACTAGAAGCACACTTGGTCCTTCCTTGTTTTTCCCTGGAGCCTGCCTTTCTATTGGCTCATAAAGATTGCTGGTGCTGAAGCCTTATAAACTGGAAGGGCTCTACAGAGCGTCTGACATTCTCAGTAGAGAGGTGAGGGAAACGAGTGTCAGAGAGGTCAGGCTGACTAGCTCAAGGGCTTCTGTGCTGTGATCATCACTACCAGCTGACAGCGCATTCCCCTCCCCAGGACCCTGGTCTCTATGGACACGAGAGACTGAGGGAGGTACAACTGTGGATATTGGCATCCTTGTGTCCCTTTAAATTTAGTCCCTTATAAAATAGCACAGCACTGACCAAGTTCATCTTTCGTGTGTGAGCTTGTTTGTGCTGCTGGTTGGCAATATTTGGTTGGGTTCTACCTAGAAACTAACCCTGCTACTCAGTCCAAGGTTCCTTCTGTGTCATCTTCAAGCCTGACTTCTGATCCCAGGCTACATGACCTGCTTAAGGTAGCATTTAATCACAGCTGTGATGTCTGGCACCTGAGCCAATGGGATATGTTACATGTGATGTGTGTGGAGAGGAATGAAGTCAGTTCCCAAATGGCAGATGGACTAAAATCCTAGAAGACCAGCGAATATCCCAGACCTCAAATGAAGATTGATTGATTAGTTGATATTTTGAATTTCATGGTACAATTTTATAGTGTCTGGGATATCCACACCACCACTGTGTAATTCCCAAGCCCTGACTCATTTTCACTTATTCTTTTGAAAATATTATCCTTCCTAAGGAGTTCCAGTTGCATAGGTCTGTTTTTGACCTGTGCCCAGAAATTGCTGATACAATCTGACAATCCAGCATCCCATTGTCTAAATATGTCAGAGTTACATTGAGAGCCCATCTTTGATGTGGCAGTAGAGATGCATATTGTGTTGTGTCTTCACATCTGAATATGTTTGAAGACTGGCTTTCATTCTGTTAAGTTCTCTGTTTTAGGCAAGGACACAATTACATAGATGAAAAGTGGATATGATATGAAATCGGTCCTATGAGGGAATTTGTCCTCCAGTTGCAGGGTATGACACGGTATTTTAAAAAAATTTATTTAGTGACATAAGTATACTTTACCAATCAGGATGAGCTAGAATCCTGAGAACCCCATTTCTCCCAGCCTGTAGATGATTACTGTAGCTAAGATGCTTGTCTGGTGGAGGCATCATTCCTAATACAGATTTCTAATATTCATTTTCATAACTGTCAGGAGTCAGAGATGTTGAAAGAGGCAATGGAAAAAAAATTGGAAGCCCCAACAACTGAATGTAACTTTTCTGAGAAGCTTCTTTCCCAGGGATGCTCTATGTTCACCTTGCTTTCCTTGCTGGTCAGTGATTCAGGAATCGTAGTGCTCTGAGCACATTTCACCCACTGCTGCTGTCACTACTTCCAGCTCAGTGTCTTTGTTCCTCCTCAATACTCTGTGCCAAACCCAGCTCTCGTTCCTTGAGAAGTCCTCTGCACACCCCATGGCTTAATTTTCCCAATTTCCCCTTCATCCTGTGTTATCTTTGCTCCTCATCTGTCCTGTGGTCCCCATCCTCCTGTGCTAGAATATCTTTCTCCCCAAAGCCCAGGTCACCCCATCCTGCCTCTGTAGTTTCCATTTGACTCTCCCTGAAAGAGAAAGTTCTAAAATTTGTGAAGATTACACTTTAAAAGTAATTTTAAAAGTTGAAGTATTGATGGAGGGAGATGCTGACCATTGGAGCATCGTGGTCCACATGGACAGTTTTCTCTACAGCCTGGGTTTGTAAAAGCTGTTTCTCTAGGAGTCTCTGATGTTCATTTTCTATGTGAATAGCCTCTAGGATTCAACAACAGAGAAGAAGTGCATCACAGAGAATCACCGGTCTACTCTTGGAGTGTGTCATATGGGGACATAGGTTTCACATAATAACACAGTTATATTCAGTCACCTGGTAGCCATTCAGTGTCAAAATCAAGTTGAGATCCAGTCTCCTGATTCCTTACTGTGATACATTCCTCATTATTCCAACCTGTTTTGACTCTACTACTCAGTTTGACCAATTATCAAAAATAAGCAAAAATCTTGGTGAGCTCCTTGACAGTTTCTTTCCTTACCTGACATGGTCAGAGAAGAGGATACGTTGAGTGTAGGTAAAACCAATGAGGAGACGATACCAGAGGACGTCTGGGTAGCAGGTGCTGAAGAGCGCATGTGTCCAGTACGAGGGTCACTGGTCACTGACAACTGACCACTGGTCACTTGCCACTAGTGATGATCCAAAGTTGTTTACCAACAACTCCATGGAAACCCCAAGATTCCCCGAAGGGGGGGGCAGTTTAGCCTGTAGAATGATGTCACTGGAGAGGCAGGTGAAAGGTCAGAGATAGCCAATAGGAAGGCGACATTCCAGGGAGAGGAGAAGATTGGCTGGAGGGAGGTGGGTAGAGCTGAGGAATGAGGAAGTGGACATCCATAGGGAGCAATTGGAGCTCTTCAGCAATCATTTTGTCTGACTAGTGAAATTCCTGCAGCTTGTAAAGACCAAAGGAAAGACTGCACTAATTCCTGTAGTGATTTTGTTGAAGGGTCGAGTGAAGTGTGATGGGTGCACCTTGTAGGGAGTGATGGAGTCTGGCACTTTTGTGCTGCAGTTTCTCTGTTTGAGTCCTACCTTGCTTGGGCAGGGTGTGCCCAGCAGGTGGGGCATTGGTTTTCTGCTCTCCCTGTCCCATTCCTCTTAGCCATTTCTTTGGGGACAACACTTCCTCTTACTTTCTTGCACTAGTGTGGTTCTTGTTGTCCCCATAGGAAAGCTGGGTAACTTCTTAGGAAGCTCACAGTGGAGAGGAAAGAGATCCAGCTGATTGCCAGCCAAGCTGCTCCGGGCCATTGGTGGTGATCCTTTGCCCATCATTTGTGAACGCTGGCATGCTCGGATGTGCGGACGTGTCACATTCCTTCTTCAGTGATAGAGACATTTAGGGAACTCTCCCTCCCCTCATCAGGTTCGTGCAGTGTGGCAGTTTCAGCCGAAGCATAACAGTGAAAGCATCATTAATGTTACATATAGGCTTGTCATCATTTTCAACATCCTTGAAAGTTTCATTTCCTGACCCACAATAGTACATATTTGTCCCAACAAAGTTTAGATGATTTGGGCCTCTCTTCATCTCCCTTGCCCCATCCCTCTCCCTCTTTCTCCCTATCTCCATCCGCATTCTCCCTTTCTGTCTTTGTCTCTCTGTCACTTTGGTTTTTGGAAATGCCATAATAATTCTTTAAATAAGCACCTGTGCCCTGCACAGTGACACTGTGAGCCTTAGTCATGTGAGGGATCAGTTAGGGATGGCATTGTCCAGATGAAAGAAGATGCCCATGATTCTTCTCTGTCAGAGCCTGGGTAAACTTCACGGCTGAGCTCCCTGCCCTTGGGATGCACTGAGGACAGGCAGAGAAGCCTCCATTCTGGACTCTGAGAGCCAAGTAGGAATCCCAAGTGACCCGAGTTATGCCAGTTAAGTGCCTGTTTTTCTAAGTACACAATTCTGTAATACTAGTAGAATTAAGCTGTCAAGATGGGATTATCGTGTTATTTCCAGGACATTTGATCATTATGAAACTGGTTCCTTAAATCATGCAAGTCAAGATATGCCTTACTGAGAGAGGAGCAAATTGAAGGCAGATGTCAGCCATTGGAACGTGCACAAAAAAGAGACATGTGACATTGGTGCTGAGCAGTAAGAGCTGAAGACTAGGGTGTGGCATGGACTGAAGTTCTGGAGCCTGCCTTGATAGGTCAGTAAGCCCTGCTCCTGCACCTATCCAGGAAAAACCTCTCTCTGACACTTCCCCTGAAAGATATGGGGTAGAAATTGGTGCAGAGTTTAAAATGGAGAAAGAACCAGAACACTGAAAACTCTGTTTTTCACATGATTAGAGTCGAAGAATTTGTCTAAAGCAAATATCCTTTCAACCTGATGCTTAAGAGTAAAAGTAGTCAAATGGTTTCTGTCATTTTTGGAAAGTCAGATTAATGGAGGTAAGGAATAGATGAAGAGAAGGCTATTGATATTGTGTCTACTGCTTCACTCCCCAGGTGGCCACCATGGGCAGAGATCCAGGAGCTGGATCCATGTCTCCCAATGCCCCCAGTGACAGAAGGGTACACAGCAGATTCCTTGGCTTTTTGAGATTCGTGGATATGGAACTGAGATTTGAATCATCACTGGTATCCATTCCTGGAAGAATCCAGCAGCTTGACCCTCCATGCCATCAGGTTGGCCTCTAAGATCAACTATTAGTGTTGTTTCCAAGACTACATCCTTAGAAGGATGAACCTTCGAAGGTTCATCCTTACTGATATAGGTAACGCAAAAACAACAACAACAACAAACAAGCCAAGACAATGCGGATTTTTAGGATGCTACATCCTTAGTGGCAATCCATGCTATCATGAATTTGTCCTTGTATGAATTAAAAGGAAGCAACTGATTTTTATCTGAGAGAGATGTTTGTGGCAAAGTCACATAGCCAATGAAATGTCAAATCCGAAGGTGAAATGAATTATCCACATTTCTGCTTCCATACTTTCTCCCAGAACCAGCAGTTTTGGCCCTACTTCTTACTTGAGGCTAAAAACTGTTTACATTTTTGTCCCTTACTTGATGTGGTTGAGAAAGGCAAGCTAACGTCAACTGAGGAGATGATACCAGAGGATGTCTGAGTAGGCAGTACTAAAGAGCACCTATATCCCGTGTGAAGGTCACCGGCCAATTGGCTACTATCAGTTACTGGATGTTGGACACTGCTCACTGGGCAAGTGTCCAATGATCCAGATTAATTCACAGATGGTTCCACGACAACCACAAGATTCTGCTATGAGGTATCAGTTTTGGTGGCTGAATGATGTCACAAAGCTGGCAGTTTGAAGGTCTAGAATGGCCAACAGGCAGGCCAGCTTCCCAGTGAGATGAGGGGATTGAGTGGAGCGAGTCTGGAGTGCTGTAAGAGCTTCTTTGAGAACGCTGGTGCTGTTCATTCCTGGGGAAGTGGATTCCTGTAAAGACAGACTTCCCCAACCAACCAGCACGTACGGTAGGGAGATCTCCTCAGCCTATCTCAACTGTCATCACTAGTATAACCACGTCAGAGTTTTCGATAGATTTGTGTTATATTTAAAAGCACATCACACTATACACATTGCTACATTGACCTGTGTTGGCAAAAATGCCATAGATTTCCAATGGAGCAATCTCAGCTCCACTGAAACCATGTAGGTGATCTGCCTAGTGAACCCTTGCAACTTTGAAAGGGCCAAAAGTGAAACCAACAGTTCTTTTTGTCGCTGAAAGGTTGAGTCGAGTGGAGGTCGCAGGGTGTCCCATGCAGGGCATCATGCGGTCAGATGGCTTTCCCTTGCAGTTTCTCTGCATGTGTCCTTCCTCCCTGTGGCTGGGATGCTGCAAGCTGCTGTGTTTATCCTTCTCTCTCCCCTTGTTCATCCAAAATGTTCCAAGGCTAAGAGCCAAACAGTGTAAAAAGTTTCTTTTAATTGTGCTTATTTGCTTTCCTCAGCAAATGTCCCATCATGTGCCTGACATCTGCGCTAACAGAAATGCATGTTTTAATGTGTACAGCCATAAAATCCAGAAAAAGCCCCTGAAAGTGCCTTGGATAATTTTAACTTTATACTCAAAGTCAAGAACATCTATATTTTCATCATCTAGGAAAATGTCGTCCCCCCCACATTTTATAGATATCAATTCTAGGAAGATTTTCTTGATAAATGTAAAATTGTAGATGTGAATCTTTGTCACTTACTTTCTTTTTCAGTTCAGTCATTCTCAGCTGTGAGTCTAAAAGCAGCTGATAGGTGTCCAGCAGTCAGTGCTCTTTCAGGAAGAAAAAATCCTCCAGATGAGAGGGAATCGTGAATTGACATTTATCCCACAATAGAACTGATCCTCATGTTGCAGAGTAGGTTTCCTCATTTTGAAAAAACGAATCTTTTCAGGCAAATTATGTTCAAGCAAATCTGTGTACCCTGAGTAGACACCCTGAGCAAATCGCAACCTCTGGAACTGAAACAAATTCATGAACAAGATATTGTTTCTGACATTAAATAGTGCTGATGTATCCAGGTACAGCTAGGAAAATTTGGTCTATTACTCAATCCTTTATTTCTTAAGATTTAAAAGGAAATGCTACAGAGGGAAAAGTAGGAGAGACAGGGAGAAAAATCTTTCATCCCCAAGTCACCACAATGTCCAGAGCAAGGTAGATCCAGAGCCACGAGCCAGGAGTTTCTTCTGGGTCTCTCTTGTAGGGTCAGGGGCCCCAGAGCTTGTGTGGACCATCCCCTAATGCTTTCACAGGCCACTGGTAGGGAGGTGTAATAAAAGTGAACTTGCTGAAACACAAAATGTAGGCCCGGGTGATGACAGTTCTAGCAGGCAGTGTACGTCTTCACATCAGTCCTCTTTTTTTAAAAAAAGATTTATTTTATTTTTATTGCAAAGTCAGATATACAGAGAGGAGAGACAAAGAGAAATAACTTCTGTCTAATGTTTGATTCCCCAGTGACTGAAATGGCGGGTGCTGTGCTGATCACAGTCCAGGAGCCAGGAAATTCCTCCAGGTCTCTCACAGAGTGCAGGGTCTCAAGGCTTTGGGGAGTCCTCGACTGCTTTCCCAGGACACAAGCAAAGAGTTGGATGGAACGCAGGGTCACAGGATTAGATCCAGCACCCAACTGGGATCCTGGCGCATCAAAGGCGAGGACTTCAGCTGCTAGGCCACCGTTTCAGGCATACATCAGTCCTCTTGTATGAGTCTTATGATAGATGAATATGCAGAAATGTTAATTAGTGGGCACCAGATTAGTGGGGTGCACATTAGCTGGAAACTAGTTTGTGGATTCAACCAGAACCTGATATGGGTCCTCTGGCCATTTCAGAGAGTGAACCAGCACATGGAGCATCTCTCTCTCTGAAGTTCTAAGTAGAGAAACACCATAAACTCAGCTGTTCTGATATGGAATGTGGGAATCCAGAATCATGTCTTAAGCACAAAACCACTTTACAAATTCCTTTTAAATATATATAGTATGATATGTATGGGGT